TTTTAGTTTAGTGTAAGTTTGAATTCTGCTTGTGTGGTTTACCTATAAATAGGAAGTGCTTGTAATGTTGTAACTCAGAACCAACAAGAATCAATTCAATACAAATTCTTTCTTAAAATATTCTCTCTCTAAGTTTTCTCTTCTCTGAAAGCTCGAACCTTATAGTTCTTAGTATCATTCTTCACTTAGATGCAAATATGCTCTTCATTTTCCTCATATGAGGATCCAGTGTATCAGAAAGTTCTGATCCCTGAAACCGTTTTACCGCAGAGTGCTCTTATAAGAAATATGAACTTGAGTGGACTTTTAGCCAAGGGATGGCACCGTTATGCCCGAGTAGGTTCATATCATTTGGATAAGAAGTGGTCTCTGTCCGAAATGGTATCAGAGCCTAACTATTTTTCAGAAGGGGATATGATAGTAGAAAATATAAGTGGAAGGTGAGTAAGACTAACCATTTAAACATGGATAACCAAACACCATCAACCGAGTCCAGTCTCGTCTGGTTAAACTCTACTCTTTCTCTTCCAAAGAACATCTCGAAAACCCTTTCCTCTAAGATAGAAAACCTTATAGAATATTCTTATGTCCCAAAAGATGCTCAAATCTCCAAAACGTACAGTTCTCTTTTAAGCCCTTATAATATTTTTAGGAGACAAAGATCTACCCTTAGATCTATCACCTGACTCCTTTCTACCAGAAGACTCAAGTCATGGAGTATGTCCAATCCTCCAGGATGGACCAGTGTGTCGTTGCCTCCCCCACAGAAGAACAGTATGTTAACATCAAGATTCCCAAGGATCTTGTCAGACACTCATCTTCACTACGGGGCTATACAGTTAGTTCTTTCCCTTCATGGAAGATGGGGACTACCCATCTCAACAAAGAGACGGCACGGTCAAGACCATCTTCAAAAAACTTGATGATGTTCCCAGTTCAAACACCTCAATCTTCCAATCCATGATTATATCACCAGTCACCAAAGAGGGCAAGATTCCCATTGCTAGCGTGTACCCTGATGGTAAACCTATCTTCACTAATAAGATAGGAGGACACTTCATCTAGGACACTATGTGCGATTTTGACTATTGCGACCACATTGGAGACACCGGTGATGAAGAGAACGATGACTCAAACTATGAAGATGATGACTACAAAGGAGGATCCTATGGACTTCCTTTCTCTCCCAGTAGAAGATTCGAACAAGGAAAAGGTCCCTGGATTGGACTCCACTGTCATAGAGCCTATCTATGACCCTCCTGATGAAGAAGTTGACTCTGGTCCTACTAGGACAAATGCTTCTTCAAAGCCAAATGGTGGACCCTGGTTCACTATTGATGACATCCCTCCAAGCCAATGGAGAACGAGGCTGATCGAATTTGGAGCTTGGTTAGACACAAAGCTAGTCAAACTCATATAAGGTCATCAAAGAATTCTATTGTAGAATGACTGGAACTCTCAAATAGTGATGTCATAACCTCGGAGTTGTTCGACAAAACCAATTCCATGAACTAGGACAAACCTCAGCAGTGCTTGGAGCTTTGCTTATAGGGGATGACTCAATCATCGATAAGAAGCTCAGGCAAGAGTTCTTTGAAATGAGATGTTGCTCAGTCAAGATCAAAGACCTAGAGAAACACTACCAGCGAATGAGCAAGAGGTTCTACCACCTCAATGGACTCAACGACCCTAGCCTGAAGAAGACCTATGTTGCATCGCTTCTTGCTGAGCTATAACCAGAATTGAATAGAATGGCAATGACTGTCTAGAAGGACTTCACCACTTTGACAATGGGTCATATTCACCAGATGACCCTTGAAGTAAAGTTTTGCAGACAACACAAGTTCTTTTTTGATATCATGACTCAGAAAAGAATATTGCAGACTGATGCCAGTGATAACTACTGGGGAGCAGTGCTCATTGAAGATGTCCATACCTACTAGTAATCCTTATTGGAAAGCTTGTTCCCAATTACTTTGCACCAGACTGTACATTCTAGAAAGAATTTGATTTCAATTGGAGCTCTAGTGATTAGCTTAGTCTTGAAGATTTTTTGGTAAGCTACAACAAAGTAGGAGGCTTACTTCTTCCATAATTCTTTGGGAAGTATGTCAGGATCCATCATAGACTTCTAGGCTCCTATGTCAATATAAGTTATGGTTTTGATGACTTTCTCATACTTTGAGGGAAGAAGCTGGACTTCCAAACATGGTTGTGGAGGAGAGACATTAATAAGATTAGTCTCTTAAAAGGAAAATACTGGAACAATATTAGTTTTTTGATACATTGGAATATTCTGATTTTGTCTCGTTAGAGGAGATGGTAAGGATAAAGATGGTCTCTTCATCTGCAGAGCTCTGTTCTAAATAGAGAGACTCTATATCGTTATTGTCATCAAGTTGGAGGGTAGAGATGATCTTGATGACTATTTTAGTTTTATGGGGACAGTTCTTGGAGAAATGTCCTTTCCTTTTGCGAGATATAGCACGGTTTGTCTTGTGCTTTTGCTTCGAACTTCTTGAAGAATTTAAAATTCTTCTTCTTGGAGAAAAGTGACTTTTCCCGCTTCTTATATATATATATATATATTTGTATTTAATATATTTATAAAAATATATTTTTATATTTATTAGATATAAAAATATAAATAAATGTTTAAAATATATAAAAATGTATAAATCTAAAAATATATTAAAGATATATAATTATATAAATAGGTTTTTATGATATAAAAATATATTTATATTTATTATATATAAAAAATATTAATAAATGTTTAAAATATATAAATATATATTTATATATTTATTTAATATATATATATATATATATGTTTATATTTAATATTTACATTTATATTTAATAAATATATTTTTATATCTTTATGTTTAATATATATATATATATATATATATATATATATATATATATATATCCCAGTCCAGAGTTTAAAAGGGAAAAATGAGTTTACTAGAACCGATGCGAGATAATGATGAATCTTGAGTTTTGATCTTGAGGGAACCAAATAATATATTATCAATAAATAATAAATAAATGTGAAAATATAATAATATATGAAAGGACGAGAGATAAAATTTGTAAATATACAAACAAGTATATTTAATAATCATTAAGTTTGAGGAGATCAAAATTATAAATGCTAATGCAAATTAGTTATAAGAATAAATCATTAAGTTTGAGGGGTCAAAATTATAAATACTAATGTAAGTTACAAAAGTTTAGGAAGGTCATGACCTCCCTTATCTCCCAAAAAGATCGACACTAGATGTAGGTTCGTGTGTTCTCCGCTTTAAAAAGTCAGAGATAGGTAATGTAATGCAATTCCCACTCGACCCTATCTTTGTCCCAGCGTTAACTTTATATTTAAATTTAAATATAAAAATGTTAATATTTTAAAAGTATTTTCTTTTATTTTTCCGTTATATATAAAACCATTTTTTTTATTTCACCATTTTTACTTTTCTTCTACCCACTTTTTTATTCTTTTGTCTTTAAAATATTTTAAATCAATTATTTCATTGTATTATTTTTTTTCACTTACCTTTCACTTATTCACATTTCCTTAATTTCTTTAATTAATTTGGTTTTTTCAATCTCTTCAATCCATTTGGTTTCTTCTTCTTTATTTTTTTTTTCTAAATATTCTACATCGATTTTATTTTTTTTTCTAAATATTCTACATCGATTTTAGTAGTAGCTAATATTATTTTATTTCTAATTTATCTTTACTAAATTTTATTATGTCATATTTTTTAGATATTATTATTTTTATTTGTCATATATCAAGTTTTATCTTAATAAAATAATTATATTTGAAGAATTAAAAATAATTAATAATTAAAACTTTTATTTCTTTGAAATAATTAAATAAGAATTAACTTATTAAATATTTTCTTATAAATTATATATTTCATATTTATAAATATTTTAAAATAACAACTTAAAAATAATTAACATATATATATATATATATATATATATATATATAATCAAATATTTAAATGTAATATTATTATTATTATTATTAATATTTGTATAAAAAAATGATTAAATATTTTTTTACATACATATTTTAATATAAATGTAATAAATTCAAGTATATATTTAAGTAATAATAATAATAATTATAAATTATAAAATTAAAATATAAAAAAGAATATTTAAAAAATATTAAAATTATTTTATTATAAATATAATTAATTTTTTAAAAATAATGTAAATTGAAAACAAGATATGAGTGAAAAAATTTAAAATTCATAAAGAAAAAAACATAATTTTTAACCGAAGGAGGATGGTCCGGAAAACAAAACTCGTCCCGGCCCATCCAATTCAGAATTCCAGGAGGAACTGAATTCCGACTAGTTTGCCTTGACAAAATTTAACTCCCTAGGATCAAAAGTGTGCTATTTATGTAATTTTTGCTATCTCTATGGAATAGTACTAGATGAAAAAAAAATCGAGTTTCTACCGTCTAATTTTTAACTTATAAGTAAAATATTATATAAATACGACCATGAAATATATTAAAAAATAATATATATATATATATATTTTATAATTTCGTTTTTTTCCTAAACTCAAGCTACCTCCTCTTCAGCAAATTTTAATCGAAATGGGAAAACAAAAAATTAGAAATATAATATTAAAGAATATTAACAACACTTTTCGTGTTGTATGCATCTTCCGTAATATTGTAATACATACACAAATTAATTCTTTACGATGATCATTAATAGGATTGTCTCCCTAAACAAAACCCTTTTTTTTTTTGTTTTCTCTGGTGCAGGCAACTATTAAAACAGAGTATATGTTATATTTCTTCGTCATAACATGCAAAACATCATCTTGTTATTGTAAAACAAACACTAGGTATTCATCCAAAAACTGAAAATTATTCATGCATTATAAGTCATACCCTGTTATAGCAATCACAAACTTAATTGTAATACATAACTGTTATAGCAATGATAACCCGGAAGTTAATGATGACGAAGTGGAGGAGGCTTCCTGATCCTAGTTGCTTGCTCAAAGGAATATGCAATTTCGATCAGCTTTGGCTCAGAGCCTCTCAAACCTCCAAAGCAAACTCCAACCGGTGCACCCTTTTCATATCCTGCTGGAACAGTTACTCCAGGATGACCTCCGATAGCAAGTACAGGACTAAATTTTGCAAAGGGTACGACCACCGCATCAAGCTTATTTTCTGTCATTAGTTTCTCAAATCCATCTTGTGACAATCTTGTCAAGTTTGATAATGCTTGTTTCAGTGTTCCAATTCCATTTCTCTTCTGAGCTTGCAGCATGAGATCTTGGCGGTACTCCTCAACTTTCTCCTGCGAAGATTAAGCTTCTATTTTAGCCATCAACACTTAATCAAAAGACAAAACATAGAAACCGTTTTAGATGCTGTTGATATTGCTGTTTATCTTCAATCAGATGATAACATGCATTGATATTTAATAAAATCTATTATCATACATTTTACCGAGTTGCAACTCTAATTTTAATTATGCACTTAAGCGACCAAAAACAACTACGATATTCTTGGACCAACCAAATATCTCGACAGTATTCAAGTATTCGGCTATACTCTAGATATTCAGATATCAACTAATCTCGATATACTCGGAAATCATCTGAATACTCGCCAACAAATAGGATAAAATATCTCGTACTTCTCGGATAGATATAATATCTCATTCTCGTATAAACAAATTTAGTATCTCATTCATTTCACTTATTCATATTTCACTTCTCCATTCTGATTCAAGTATACTTAAGTATCCGTCAGTCTTTTGCAGATAACTTAGGAGTCCTCTTCCAGTAATACTCATGTACTCCCTCTATATTTAAATATAAAAGAAAAAATATCTCTTCATTATGAAAATAGTTAATTTTATTTGTAATTGAGTTAGTATATTACATCTAAACTTTGTCATTAACCAGAAGAAGCATTCTCATGCACTCACCAATTTTGGGTGTTTGTTGTTGAAGGTTATTACATCGGCCAAGCTTCTCACCGGGGAAGTAACTAAGTCTTTGAGGTAAGCGTTCAAGGAATATTTGAATTCAAATGACAAAGCAATATCTTCACTTGGATCACTAAAAACTTCATTAATATTTTCTATCTCCAAATTGTCAAGCAAATCTGCTCCTTTCTGCCTGAGTAAAATGCATATGAGATTGGAAACAGCAATAATCAGCAATTAATATACTTAACAAGTTGTAATTTCATTACCTTAATGTTTTTAGGTGTTGCCCAAAAGTTTTATGCAGAAAACTATTATTTCCAAAACCGTAGAAATCTCTAAGAACTCCTAGTCTCTTTCCTCGTAGTCCATCTTTCCTTAGAAATTGAGCATAGCCTCCTTTTGGGATATACTTTGATGCTTTCATTGTTGCTTTATCATTGGCGTCAATTCCTACAATAGTTTCAAGAACAAGAGCAGCATCTGATACAGTCCTGCAAATTGGTCTGCACCAGCCCACAAGATGTTACACATTGAATCTAATGAAAGGCATTTTGACGGGGAATTAATTATGCTTGAAAATGGCCATGATATAAAGAAAATGGTGACATTGCCTGGGACATACCCAACCGTGTCTTGTCTTGGGCTGATTGGAACTACCCCTGCTCTGCTAGTGAGTCCAACTGTTGGTTTGATGCCCACTACTGAGTTAGAATCTGAAGGGCATAAAATAGACCCATCTGTCTCTGTACCAAGCGACACTGCCACCAAATTGGCTGCTACTGATATTGCAGATCCACTGCTGGATCCACAAGGATCACCCATTGTGTATGGATTCTGCAGAATAAAATCAAGTGGTGAACTACTTATTTTTGAATCATTCATACCATAGCATGGTCATTCATTCAAACATTTAATTGCAATTTTCGTATGTTAGATATGACGATGTTCATTGAATCTTACTCTTATTAGGCCAATTAGGATATACTTAAACAAGTTTCTTTATAAATTCCTTTCAGGAAAGAAAATTTAAGAGAATGGAGTTTAGAATAAAACTTCACTACAATGATACTATACAACTGAAAATGCATTTGTCTTATTTTTTACTTGCCTTCAACCTATAATTTGAATTTAACAAAACGAATTAAATATCGCTAAAGATTAATTTGTGAGGGAAAGACACATGCATAATTTGAATTTCATCTTTAACCTCTACAAACTATAAACTAAATCATGCAAGTAATAAAAAACAAGTAAAGGGACCACCTTTCCTTTTCCTCCTCTGGCACACCAACCACTAGGTGCTTCAGCCGACCTGTAATGTGACCACTCACTCAGAGTGGCCTTCCCTAAAATGATGCCTCCAGCTTTTCTTAACCTGGTTACTACGCCTGCATCTCTGGGCACCACAGAGCCCAGAAGTGCAAAAGAGCCTGCAGTGGTGTTCATCTTATCCTTGGTTGCAATGTTATCCTTAACCAAAATGGGTATTCCATGCAATGCAGAAAGAGACCCTGGTGCCTTGGCCTTTCTCTCCTGGTCAGCTTTGTCAGCTTGTGCTAGTGCATCTGGGTTTAACTCCAACACTCCTCTCAGAACTGGGTTTTGGATTTGTATTTGTTTGTGGTAGAAATCCACCAGTTGCCTAGAGGTTAATTGATTTCTCCGGAAAGCTAGTTGGAGATCATAAATAGTTGCCTCTTCGATGGAGAATCCTTTGGCGAAGGTTGTTGGGAGGAAAGCAGAGAAAGAGACTAGAGCGGAGAGAGAGACGAGTTTGAAGAAGAAGAAGACAGAGAAACCAAGTGCCATGATCAAAGCCATGAGAGAACTGAAGTCAGCAGATACCAACATTCGGAATTAATAACGTTATAAAAAAGATAATGATAGGAAGCCTTTACACGTACACCCTAATATTTCAGACCCTCCAAATCACATCTAATACGTGGCCTTCTTTAAGGAGATATAATGCTTACGTGGAATTGAATAGAAACAAATAAAAAAGAAGAAAAGAACTGAAAATTGTACACGTGTGCTTCCTCAAACGAGGATGGGTGTTTCATTTCATCTGTTTTTATTTCGTCTAAGGTGTACAACTTTCAGTTGCCTCTTCTTTGATAGTCCCGTTTTCATTTCCTAGGGTACTTGATTTCGTCTCAGGTGCACTGGCTTAAGTTATCTTTAACTGCCTCTTCTTTCACAGGGGAACTTTCATTTGCACTATTTTCACATAGGCTGTTTGATTTTATCTTCTTTCATCAACAACTTTGGTATGTTTTATCTTTGCATTTCTGTTATAGTCGGAGTTCCTTGACAATATGGATGAGTTAATGGTGGGGGTGAGTATAATGATACTATGGACAATATGATGAGTTAATGGTGGGGTGAGTATAATGACCCTAGACAATATGGATGAGTTAATGGTGGGCAGTGGCGGATCTTCTTGGAAGTGAGGGGGTCGTGGCCTCAAAGTTCTGTAACTCCCATATAATTTATGATTTTGACCTTCTCAAACTTAATTAACATTTAATATATTTACTTGTATATTTACAATTTTATCCTCTCAGCCCCTCCTCAGTTTTATAACTCTTATATAATTTATGATTTTGTCTCTCTCTAACTTAATGATCATTTAATATATTTAAGTATATATTTACAATTTTATCCTTTTACACTTTTATCATCTTTCTTCCTTTTATATTTATTAATAATATATTATTTAACCCCCCAAAATCAATGGTCAAGATCCGCCACTGATGGTGGGGTGAGTATAATCACACTATGATATGATAGCGAGTACATATCATACACATATACGATACGAGTATATGTATTTTATATCAGAATTCATCTTATATTAAAATATATAAGATATGATACATTTAATATATATATATATATATATATATATATATATAATAATTCATAAAAATAATTATATATAATTATTAAATATTATTTAAATTAAACATATTAAATATATTTTTAAATGTATATATGACTTTTAAAAAAAATTAAATATAAAATAAAAGTTAACAATAACTACTTATTTAGAAATATAAATAATATCAATTTCATCTCCTTCTTAAGTATCATAAATAAATGAAACAATTTTCATGTCCGGTTCATCAAGAGATAATGTTGTCACTCTAAGGTTTCTAACATAGTCAAAATCATCTCATGCATATCCACTAATGTCCCACATTTTAGAGTTCCCTTGATTATATTCTTCACTTTGCCTAACCAGAAGTGGTAAATTAATATGCACATAAACCAAGTCTTCTGCTCTTTTAGGATTCAGCTTATTTCTTTTCAATGAGTAAATGTAAGAATAAGTATTCTAATTTCTTTCACAACAAGATGATGAGCAAGGTTGTACAAGAAGCTTCAATGCTAGCTTTTGAAGTAGAAGGGCACTGGAACCATGCATCACCCACCAAGATTTAGGATCCAATGTCCACCTATCTCCTATTGAGTCAAAAGAAGCAAAACTATTTGACTTTGATGAAAAGTTAGCATACTCAAGTGCAACATTTCTTCTATCCTCACTAGTTGTAAATTTTTTTTCAAACACTTATTCCTCTCCATAGAAATCTCTTCATCCTCATATGGTGAGATTCTATTTCACTACTACAAAATATGCTTTCAACGTCGCCATTTAACGTCGGTTCAAGCTGAGCCGACGTTAAATACACTTTCAACGTCGGTTGGTTAAAAAACGACGTTGAAAGTTGAATGTTGGTCACATTCTACGTCGGTTCTTAGTCAAACGACGTAGAAAGTACTTTCTACGTCGGTTCCCATATGAACCGACGTTGAAAGTCTTTTTTTATTTTATTTTTTACTTATTGATAGCGGTTATAAGGGAACCGCTATCTAAAGTGCATATTAGATAGCGGTTATAAGGGAACCGCTATCTAATATACACTTTAGATAGCGGTTCCCTTATAACCGCTATCTAATATGCACTTTAGATAGCGGTTCCCTTATAACCGCTATCTAATATACACTTTAGATAGCGGTTATAAGGGAACCGCTATTATATCCTCTCAATTATGATCGATCATTTCAAGTTATGATCGATCGGAATCTAATTTCGCTCGAGCGAGGGTAGTGTCGCTCAAGCGAAATACAACCCGAGAATGCTAATTTTGTGCAGGGGCGTTTCGCTCGAGCGAGAAGGGTGTCGCTCAAGCGAGATACATTTTAGATAGCGGTTAACCTGGAACCGCTATTATATTGTTTCAATTATGATCGATCAAGTATGCGAGTTATGACCGATCAGAACTATTTTAATCAATTAAATCTCGTTTCAATCGATTAAAACAATTTCACGACAAGCGTTTTAATCGATTAAAACTTATTTTTATCAGTTAAAATTACTTGAAAAGTGTCACGCAAAGTTTTGCAAGTATTTCAATCGATTGAATCACGAAACAATCGATTAAATCAACTTAGAAAATTTTTGTAAAGTGTTTTAATTGATATAAACGTTGTCAGTATCAGCTTAAAACAAATTTGTTAAAGAATCAAGAACGTATTAATGGATTAAAAGAAGTTTTAACAGATTAAAACTGCACTTTTAACAGATTAAAAGAATCTTTTAACAGATTAATTAAACCAGCTAGTTTTGAAAATCTTCTATAAAAACAGTTTGGCTTGAACTTTTTTAACATACATTGAATATATCATCTTTTACACATCCTTGAGCAATCAATCAATCGCTAATTGCGACCGAATTAAAGTGGGGGTTGGCTCGAGGTTAGAGTTCGACGTCACTAGGGTATGCGTTAGGGTTCGAGCTCCGCTGGGTTTGCGTTGGGTTTCACAAGCATGACAATTGGGTTTGGCTTGACATTGGGGTTCGATGTCGCCAGAGTTGGGGTTCGGCCTCGAGTTCGTCGAGGTTGAGGTCAGGGTTGAGATTCGAAGTTACTATTTGACATTTTTCTAGTAGTGATAATTACACGGATATATATTTATTTGTATATAAATATAATTTATTTGTAAGTTATTATCAAAAAATTCAAGTAGTTTAGTGGTTGGAGTATCGACCTCCAACTCTAAAGTACTTGGGTTCGAATCCCGCCAATGACAATTCTCTTAAAAATTAAAAAACTTCTAAAAAATATAATATAAAGAGATGGAGGACCTAATAAAAATATAATATGAAGAGAGAGGAGACTTCTAGATAAATAAAAGGGGGTAAAGGGGTTGTAAATAAATAAAAATTATTAATTTAAAAAATCATACTTTCAACTGTATATTAGATAGCGGTTCCCTTATAACCGCTATCTAAAGTCTATATTAGATAGCGGTTCCCTTATAACCGCTATCTAAAGTCTATATTAGATAGCGGTTCCCTTATAACCGCTATCTAAAGTCTATATTAGATAGCGGTTCCCTTACAACCGCTATCTAAAGTAAAAACTTTAACGTCGGTTTATTATAACCGACGTTGAAAGTTACGACTTTCAACGTCGCCTGATACAACGTCGGTTATTAAACCGACGTTGAAAGCCTTCCGAACCGACGTTGAAAGCTTTATTTGTAGTAGTGTTTGGAGTCTCTTGAATCCATTCTTCGCTATAATATCTATACTTAAAAATTATGAAAAAAATTATATTATAAAAAGTTTCTAAATTCTTTTGTATATAAGTTATAAAAAAATGAGTATTACTTGGGATTTAAATAGTGAACCATGCAATGAAGAGGAGTGCAACTTTTAGTCCACCTATCAATTAGTATACCATAAAAAATTTCATAAAATATTTGTTCTTCTGTTTTTATTTTTTTTTTGGATTTTTTTTTTCGATTCTTTTTAGATACGAATTTTTTAAGTATCAAAGTGAATCAGTATCGGATACATATCCGAAATGGATACGTTGGCCTTTCCAACTTATACGTAAATCATAGCATAACACCTTTCTTTTTTCATTTTTTTTGCAGTGCCTTCACAATCCTATGATTGCTTGTGGAGAAGAATGTATTTGAAAGTCGTGAAGCCCATTCGAAAATCATTGCTCATCGTCTCGTGTCTAGATTTTTAGCGTTTGTCCCAATTATTAAAGTATTAATTTGCATTTTCTTAGTTGTATTAAGGAGAGGAGAAAAGTTGTTAATACTGTATTGGGGTGCCTTTGTTGTGTATGATTTGGATTGTTCATATGTGTTAGAAAAGTAGTTTTAAATCAAGAGGGGGGGTGAATTGATTTTTGAAAGTTTTTCGCAATACACAGATTATCTAATCCGAAAATTAAGATTACTTATCAATTCACAAATCACAAAGCAATCAAACAGTTTAAGTGCAGCAGCAGAAATTAAAGAGAGAAAGGTTAGGAAAGATTTCACCGGTAATTTTATACTTGGTTCACCCACAACCGGGGTTACGTCCGGTCTCCGGCCAAATTCCAGTGGGTTCCACTAGAATAGATGTTTTACTGAGACTCACACTCTTACACCTATTCTAACTCTCCACCAAGAACCAAATTCCAGCTCTTGGAAACCTCTCGCAACCAAATTCCAGCAGCGAGAGAAACCAATGCCCAAATTCCAGGCACCACACGAGTACAAGAACCAAATTCCAGTTCACGCACTTAACCTCTCCCACCAAGAACCAAATTCCAGCTCTTGATAACCTCTACAACCAAATTCCGATTGCGAGAGAAACCGAGTGCCCAAATTCCAGGCACCAAACGAGTACAAGAACCAAATTCCAGTTCTCGTACTCAACCACCAAGAACCAAATTCCGAGTTCTTGGAAACTTTCTACAACAATACTGAGAAAAAAACTTGTACCCAAATTCCGGGTACAACACAATACAAAGTAATGAAAAAGAATTTACAAAGAAGAG